TGCTTAAAGCGTCTCACATAAAGTAGCTCCAATCTCCAGCACAACAGGATTTATTTTATTACATTATTATTATTTATTGAAACTTTTAAGAGCCATGCTGCGTCATGGCTTAATTACAATATAATCATATTTAATTAATATCCTTCAATTTGATAAAAAGACAACATAAAATGACGAAAGTTGCCGTTTTGATTATAATTTTTAACATCTTTGATTTCTGTTTCATTTTAGATATGAATAGTTGCGCGTACCTGGTTTTTTACCATTATCAAATTAGCGGAGATATTTCAAACACTTATTTGAGAAGCATTTCGACATGAATGACTCGTTCCTGACATGGCATCGAAGTGCCTATTTGAATGCAGCTGGATGTGTCAGTTCTTTAAGGTCAGTAGGGAAAAAATCAAATATTTTTACAACGTGCAAAGTGATTTATTTGTGTTGGACATGGTTTCGAGTAATTCTTTTAAATGATTTGATCTTCCTCGTCTATTAGTGTACGATGTTAATTTAAAATTAGAATAAATTGTTCCATGACTGTTCCTGTAGATTAATGCCCTATTTTGGATTAATTGAAAAGGCTTCACAATGTTATCACATGCAGTCCCCGAGATTATATTCATAATATGTAAGATATGTTATGTAGATATGTATTTCAAATATAATCAGCGTTCACATAACATAAAAACAGATAAACAGTTAAGAAAAACGTGGTAGTAAAAGGATGCGAAAAATCCTTGCTGTTTCTTTGGTAACGATCCTGTTTCTATGGATTTTTGAAATTCTTCAGAAATTCTCCTTTCATCCTTATTATGTCTATCATTAAGAGGGGGGTATCTAAGAATTCAGCTCAATATGAGATCTTAGAATATTTTGTAACTTTGAGGGAAAAGAAGTCTAATTGACTCCATAAGTGAACGAACCCATGTTTAAAAACAAGATCATTCCCCCTTTAACGCTGCGTCAAATTCCATGAAAACAATTTATAAGCGTTTCATATCTAACCTCTTTTAAAAACCACTAGAACTTTTTGCCTGCTCATTTTTTAAACATTTTACATGAAAACTTTTTTTTTGGACCAGAAAGAAAAGAAAAATTCCACAAACAAACCATTCAACCCTCCAAAATTTCAGCTTCATGGTGTCGACTGAATATTACTGTGTATTAAAAAAGGATTTTGAACTCTCATTTTACCACATTTTACTTTTTTTTATCTTCTTCGGTTGTCTTTCATTTCATGCCTTTGCCTTTTTTTACTCACTACACTCATAATTAATTTCTGAAGTTTATTTCCATTGAGCATATTAAATCACTATTTGACGCCATTAGAGAAATAAAGGAGAGGACGAAAGGAGAAAAAAATGTTCATCATTGGATTTGGGACAAATTCTTTTTTCTTGCTCGTTTGCTCTAATGTCGGCATATTTTATGACCCAAAAGAAATGAAAATTATGTAAGATTACGAATATCCATACAATTTTACGATTGTATGTGTATGTTTGCATGGAGAATTTGTAATAAAATTATTGCGGGGTGTGGGAGAGAAAGTGAATTAATATGGGTCCTATGTAAATAAGCGTTTTATAAAAATGCGTGCCTATGGGCTTTTATGACGACTGAGAAAAATAAATTATGAGCAAGAAGGGAATGAGGAAATAAAAAAAAATTGAGAGCGAGGAATTAATTTGAGGAAAAGGATACGCCTGAAATTCTCTTTTTGTTACGGTTATCGATTATACGACAAGAAAAAAATCCTCAATTATTTTTCAAGAGTAATTGCTATTCATACTGTTGTATTAAAAGGTCATGAATGTTTTCCTTAAAAAGGGTGCGAGTTTACAGTAGAATTTTTGCTGAAATTGAGCATTCCAGAAATAGTAAATTTTTGATTTTTCTAGATATATTGCTGACACATCCTTAACACATAAGACGCTCAGTTTTAACCTGGGATGGGGGGGGGGGGGGGGGGGTCAAGAAGGGGTGGTGACTAAAACAAAATTCCATTTAATAAACAAATTAAAAATGGCTTTTCAAACTGAATTTACTGTGATTCAGTTGGTGAAAAATCCTTTGTACCGTCCTCTAACCTATCTAGCATGTAAGATTTTTATGTTTAAAGACTAAGATTTTACGATCTAGAATGCGGATCTAATGAATTAGATTGTAATTGTATTGAACATTTTGATCAGTTCCACAGTGTTTAATGAATTTTATCTTTGCCAATAAGCTTACAACTAAAGCTAATTTCGGATTGAATCTAGTTTCCTTGGTTTTAAAGAACTTGAACATCATCCCTAATATTTGAGTGTTGCAAACATTTCTGATTTTGATATTATTCATATACACAGTTAAATATCAACACAGGTGTACATGCCTTAATTAAATATTAAAGTTTGTGACACAAATAATCCATGAATCATATTTATTTGAAAAGTGTGCCCTTAGTCATTATGTGACATATATTAATTTACCATTTCTCTTTAAAAAACGATTTATATCCCGTTAAATGGTCAAAATTAATCGTTTCATTTATTGTCAGTTCCTACAAATGATATTCAATGAGCATGATAATGTGTATGTTGTCAATGCGAACAGTTTATTTTCTTGTTTATCATTTTTCAAGTGAAAAGACAGCGCAAAAGGAATTATTAAATTTTTCCATTGGCTGTGCTTGTTAAGAAAATTCTTCACAAAGCAAGCTGCCTTCGGTTTTTCACAAAGCTCGAAGAAGGAATGAAAAATTGTTGTCAATATCAATAAATAATAAAAGAAATGAATATTTCTATCCAATGAAGCGTGTAATTTTTAATAAAAAAAATTTCAACCATAAATTTAAAGAAAAATAAAATAAAAGCAACTAAAAAATTAAATTGCACGAAATATGCTAAACAGGTGCTGCTTTATGAACGGTTTATGACTTCCGAAGAGAAGTAAATAAATTTTTTTAATTTAATGAAAGTTTCCGGCCGAAGAAATTTGTGTGTATTTTATGTCGATTGTAAACTATCCTTTCTCTTGCTCCATATATGCAACTTGCGTGACTTTTATTATCAAGGTGAAAGGTGAAATAATGTTTTTTTTTTTATTGAAGACTTATGGCTTTAAAACTAGCTACACAGGGAGAAATTTTAATGAAAGTTTTCAACACCGGTGTGATTTGCTAATGATATGTGTTGCCATTCAATTATAGTTCTCAAAATGTTGTCTGGGTGCTAGATTTATAGATAAAATGCTGGCAGAAAGTCCTTGAAAAGTTTTTATTTCTTTTCTTCTACTTTCAGACATTTGTAATGAGAATATTTTGAAGGAGCTTCGCTTGAATGTTTTTTTGATTACTTCACAAGAAATAAAATTATTTATGAAGAATTGTGGGAGGTAGTTTTTTATCTTCCTAACATAAAATTCATTTAAGGGGACTTTTTAAATTGGGGATGGGGGGAGGGGTGTCTAAAAATCAAGTTGTTTGATGGACGTCATAAGTGACCGACCCCTAAATACTATTTGGTAGAATGACCTGAAATGTCTCGGTGGCAGAATAATTAAGTACTAATAAATTGGTAACGTGGCAGTCTCGTGGTAACTAGATTGTGCAGAAACGAGATATTTTCCCAAAAACTAGACATCATCGATAAATGAACCCCATAGAAGCTAATGTTTCGCAAAGACAAAATCCAATATATAAAATTTTCACTGTCTCGATGACGCATCATGATACATTTTAATATCATTAACAAAGGAAGGTCAACACCTACATGCCTCACATTTTGCCATTCATAAAATAATTGCGTGTATCAAAAATTTCTAGAAACTTTGATTTTATATATAAAATGATGTTAGGCGGTAAATAATAGGTGATGAGAATAATAGGATTTCAATGTTTTGTTGCTATTCAATTAAATTTCAATTGATTGATTAGCTTATTGTTATCCTAATGTGATACAAAATTTCTGAGAAAATCTGACCTAAGCTTTTGTTATTTACTTTTAAAGAGGAGTTGTTGAAAATTTGAAAAGGATTAAATTGAAGAAGCTTTAAAAATTTTTAAAAGTTTAAGGGATCGTTCACTTATGACGTTCCCTTTTTACAAAGGAAGTGAATATATAGTTACTGGAGATGATTCTTGATACAAAAAAAAAAACTTTGATATGGATTTTTGAATTGAAATAATTTATTTGTTTAATACTTGTTCGGATCCAAGGTGTGGAACTGAAGAATTAAATTTTGATCATTTTTGATCATTTTTGGTCATCTTTGATCAGTTTTTGATCATTTTTGATCATTTCATCAGCACCACACCCTTGGCTTGGATTGGAACCTTTCCAATTAATTAATCTCCTAAGTCCCTTTCAACTGTCATCAACATTTTCATTGAGTTATGCTTTAAAACCTTAAAACATTTGAATGAAATGTATAAAGCATCATTCCTAAATTTTTCCTTAGAAGTTGTCATAGTTTAAAATTCTTTTGAACTTTATGAATTTCCAATTGAATTACATTAAAGAGAGTTTCCCAGAAGCAAGGTGCTCCAATATACAGTACTAAAAATGCATTACTACGAGGGATTTCCAACATTAAAGACTTATTTTTTTATTTTATTATATGCGGATATTTTGTTTCTTTTACTTCCATCAACACGCTCCCTCACTGAACGTGTGTGTTTTTCTCATGAGTACATATTTCTAATAGTGCCACTTCACATGTAACTTGATAGCTTGGTTTTATGCTATAAAATCATTATAGTTGCGGCACATTTCTTCTTTCTCTTTATTTTCTTCTCATTTCTGTTCCATTTTTACATGCATGCAAATTTCCCCTCCAAAAATGCATTTGTAATGTATGGAACCAGACTGAAAATGAAATATTGAGAGTTTCTCAATTCTACTCTCATGTCTCTCATCCCTCTCAATATTTATTGTACAAAAGAAAGCATGCTTGCCTTTATGACAAGAAATATCGAAAATTTTCGGTCTTTCATTCATTCAATTCAGTCGTTGTTCATGCTTTCTTCCGGTCGGTTTAAAAATCATAAAATCTCTTCGATCTGAAAAAATGTTGAAAGAAATTAAAATTTTTACATGACATTTGTGACATGCACAAAAAAAATGCAGAACAAAATTTGATTTTCAATAAAATTAATGGAAATAAAAGTGGTGAAGTGGTGTATGAGATATAACAGTAAAGAGGATACAATAGTTACACCATAAATCATCAGATTAATTAACTACCTTTGCGTGCTATCGAAAATCAATAAGAAGCATAAAGACTTTGAAGGATAAACCATAATAAATTTTTTGAAAGATAATTCTTAATACTCGATGTGAGGATATGGTAAAAAGGAGCAGTGTGTAAATTGTGAAGAGGATGAAATTGGAAGGATAAAGAGAAAAAGTTTTTCCAGCACAGAGAAGAAAGTTTAAGAAGGAAAAAAATTTGTGTGTGATATAAATAAAAAAATAACATCCTAAAACTAAGCATAGAAAAATAACAACAACTATCCCAAAGAATTTTTTATAAAGGAAAAGCTTTATGCGACAAAGAAAAAAAAAATAATAGGAAGTAAGAAAGTTTGAAGCACAAGAAAAAAAAGTTATGAAAGAAAAGGAAGATTTAATTCAAGCAAAAAAAATAAGCAAGAGAGAAAAAGTTTGTTAAAGAAGACAAGACAGGACAAGATTGTGCTTTGTATGAAGAGAGGAAAAATAATATAAAAAGGGATAATTCAAGTCCGAGAAGCAACAAAAAAAAAGTGGAAAGGCAAAGACGAAACTTTACTTTTTATCATTTCATGTTTTGTGATTGTGATTATCTGTGTTGATACAGCAACCGTTGGCTTCTATATGTGCTTTGTGCTACTCCAGGTTGATAATACTGTAGATCTATTCAGATTTTTTTCCACTCGGATTATTTACCGAAAATCCTCTCTAGGGATTTAATTCAATTCTCTTGCACACCAGAAAAATCTCCATCTTTAATAATAAGAAGTAAACTTTAACTAGATTATAAGCAGATATTAAAAAATATGAAGCAGAAGCAAACAATGAGGAATATTATTAAATGGATATTAGTTTTTCTAAATACCTTTGTAGTTAAAGGTAAGTCATGGGCACATTCATGCTGTGCTCTCACACATTACTGTTGTTTACTTTTTTTAATGATTATAATCTGAGCATTCTATCTGGGGCTACCTTAATTTTGTTCATACCTGCCTGTCGGCTGTTTATTTACTAAATATATATTTGCATAGATGGATTATTAGCATTATGAAAGGATGAAAGAAGCGGGAGGAAAGAAATAATTATTGGCCCTTGAGAATGGTTTTGTCAGAATTTTATTTTTGCAAATTTTAGGATTAGTTCTTTTGTTGAAGCAGGTTGAATTCTTGAGATAAATTAATTTTAGTACGGGAAGGTCCATAAGTGAGGTTTCTGAATATTTAAACGCTTCTCTTTGCTGCAATTTTTTGTAAAAATAAGTATTTCTAAAAGTTCTATGACTTTAAGTTGGACTTGAAGAAATCAATTGACAATAACTGTGTCTTTTTCTATAAGACGTTATAGATTCTACCAGTACTTCACTACCAGTTCTTATGATTTGAAAAAGAAAAAATATAAATCACAAGATTTGAACCTAAGACCTCATAAACCATCTTGCAATTTTGAGGCAACTTAATTCTAACCTATTTTGCTATTTTCGATCCTGGGTAATTAATAGTTTTGTATCTTCTAAATTTCAAGCTTAATAAATTGTTTCCTAATAGTTTTCTTAGTCAAATAATATTTTTCTTTAATTTTCTGCATTTCGAACCACAAATAAAATTCTCAAAATTCCCATAAAGGTTCATAAATACATCACGATTTTTTTTTATTGATAGGTGTTTATCTTTGATCATCGTCAATATGTGTTTTCTTTTCATTTCATGCTAATAAAGGTTAAATGCGTAACATCAACAGCTGTGATTAATAATGAAAATGTTTTTTTCTTTACGAAATGAATTTTTTATGTGACGATGACGGAACGGCATTAGCTTCTTTTTAATAATTAAATTGTGTAAATGTGCTTAGGCGAATGAAAATTTGACTTAATTATTAAGTGAAGATAGAATTTGAACAAAATGTTACGTTGCTTAATGGATGACTAGTGTCGTGTCTTGTAATTTTGTTTGATAATATAAAAGAAATGAAATTTTTGTTAGAGCAGAGCGAAAATTACTTCGAGGTACTTAATTTCTTAATATATCTCTCAGTCTCTTTCGCCCACGATCTTTTATGGCTCATTCAGTCGCTCGTGGCATTAACAAGTGATGAGTCTGAAATGAATTTTCATGCTAAAAACGGAAGCTATTGTGCTAACGTAATACTAATTTTAATAAAATGCACGCGTAGGAAGTACGATGAAGGATTGATGAATTTATTGACTCACGTCAAAAAGGCTACGAACTGCTGAATAGAATCGACAGAAAATAAAACATTTCTTACAGAAAATCAATAAAGGCCGACAGTCTGAAAATGTTTCGTCTTAGAATGTCCTATTTTTAAATTCTGGCAATAAATAGACACAAATAATTCATGGACATTAAGAGAAATATATTTTTATTTTCTTTCAAATTAAATAAATGAAGAAACTTTGAGTTTATTTTAAAAACGATCGTGACTTATTAAAAACATTCCAAAAATAGATTCAACAAATTAAATGTCATGTCATTATGCCGGATGTTGCAAGTGCTTCTTTAAGATTTTGTAGTACCAAAAAAATTGTTGGAAATGAAATTGATAGAAAATTCATGTTCACTTTTAATTAACGTGACGATTATTTGTTTTGAGGAGGCATGTGGATGTACGTTGTAAAGAAATATTTAAATTTATATAACTTCAGATCGATTCCTTCTATATGCCTCTGTAAGTTAGCTACACATTATTAGGGAGTTTTCTCAGAATTTTATCAATGGAAAATGTTTAATTAAAATTCAATGACACGTAACAAGCTTTACATATCAGCAAATCATCAACAAAAGCCATGTATATTTAGGATCTATTTCTGTACTCCACAAAAACCTTTGCACTCTATTTGACATCACATCCATCCCCTTTTAACGTCAAGCAAAAATATTAAGAATAAGTTAAAGCAAACAGAATTTGTCGCATTGGTCTTATCGTGTAAATCTTTGTATTGATTTGCGTAATAGCTGTAAATTGTAAGGTCAGACGAGGTGAAATAAATATAATAAAGTTTATACAATTTAATGTAATGTATTATTTTGCTTATGTTTGGGTAATTTTGGATTGTTTTGCTTAGCTGAAATTATTAGATTACTTTACTCTGTAAACTTCTGGATGGAGGTGTCCGCAGTAATATTTATATGTGTTCTGGTTATAACTTGCGTGATGTAATATTTAAAGGTTAACAAACTAGTAGAAGAATGCATGGGAATGGAAATTAATTAAATGGATTTCTAGGGGTTGTTTATTAATTATGTCCAATTAAATATTGAATTGGTGGGAGAAACTCGATATAAAAAGAATTCACTAACAAGACCTCTAAATTGTCTTGAAAAATTCTTCAATTTCAGTACACAACATAGCGCAAATATTTTCCCATCTACAAAAATTCTTCGATGTCATAGAAATTTCTTCCATTTTTTCATTCCTTAGGCTACAAAAATATTTCTCATTCTTCCACAAACATTTTTTTCTCCATCTCCTGATTGCTGTATAACAACTTTATTTATTTTACGTGTTTTGTCCGACAGTTTTGAGATTTAATTCTTCTTCATTATACTAAAGTTCCTGATCATCCTTCATAATGAAAGAAAAACAAAACTTTTTTTATTCAAATAATTATTCAGAAAAATTGAATTTCAATCTCTTCAAGGGACAGTTTTAAAAGTTCTTTTCCTAATTTCTAGTGTAAATATATTTAGGAATCATGAGATGGACATTCATCTTTTCTGAGTAAATAATACATGCTTAATTTTTTGGCATTTCTAGCGCATTTTTTTATTTTGGAACACTAAGAGAAAGTTTTTAATTTAAGTTCAATAATTGATGCTATCTTTCCAAATGATCCCCTTTGATTGATGAATTTCGAAACTTTTGTAGTTTGCCGACTGAAATTCACCATGTGTGCCTGACAAACAGACAAATGAAGACCACAATTAACTTCCTATGATATGCCAAGAGACGATGTCAACGTTGGAGCAAAATAAGTTTAAACTTGTTTCGAATGTTTTTCGAACAAAATTTCGCAATTTCGAAAATCATATTTTTTATGAAAATTTTAACTTTTCGCAATTTTTGACTTAATTCACTTATTATTTAGGAATCGAATCCTTCTACTATGTTAATCAACACTCATTTAATCGTTTAATCGATGATAAATGCAGGAAACATTAGTTTAATATGATTTTTTTCAAAAATATTCAAACAATTTTGTTGTTGTTTACATTGAAAATTAAAATGTCATTAATTCACTTGCATTAATTGTTTATCAAATCAGTAATGATTCATTACAGTTGAGTGGATTCTTTTAGCATTTTGATGATGAAAAACAAATATGTAAACCATTAATTAAAGAGATTAGACATTAATAATTTAACGTGAAAAAAAAATTTGAACTCATGCTCGAAAATAAGGTACCAAAAAAAAAATCAATATCGAAAATAAGGACTCGTTGGCGTACCATAGTTAACTTCTAAACTTAAAAAATGAGAAGAGCCCAAAAAACTAAAATTTCAAATTGTATCCATGAAAATGAATACATATAGGCATATCCATAGTCAACAATGATGACTGACTCATGAAAAGAATGTTTATTTAGGTCTCGGTTTTTATTCGGAAAGAGTCTCTAAATGCATGCACAAGAAAAATTTTCCACTTTAATTTTTTTTTTTTGGTTTTGTTATTTGAGTTTATGGTCCACTTATAAAAAGTAAATTTCCTCATTCTCATTCGTCTTCTATAAACATTGAAAATCGAATGTGAATGAGTGAAGTAAGATTTAAAAAAAATAATAAATTTTTGTTTATGGAAGACCTTAAAAATATTACCTTTTCCATTTCACCGATAATTGAAAGGTATTTTTATGTATGCTTGCCATTCTCGTGCCTTTTTCAGTCGCTTGCCTTTTTTTCGCGCGCTACATAGCTCTACAATCGTAATAATGAATAAGAAAAATGCTATAAATGTATAATTGAAACCCATAACACATAATCAAAAAATTAAGATTGGCACGCGAAAAATATGAAATTTTACTGAAAATGTTAAATGAATGTCAAGCTTTAAGAGAGGAAGTGATGACGACGAAAAACAGTAGAAAAAGAAGCAAGTGTAGAAGAGAATGCTTATTAATGTCATGGATCAAGAACGAAGGGAAAATGCGAGGGAGCCTAATACAATTTGTGTGTGTGTGCGGTCAATAATTGCTTCGCTTACATTTTTATGTGTTTTGACTTGAAATGACAAAACGCTCGCTTTTTGTTGTTCACTTTGGGGTTCTTGGAAATTTATTGTCGGCGTTTATGAGTAGTTGATATGATCAGCAAACTTAAGAGTGGTATAAATTGTCATTGTGGAATTGCTGTAATTAATGAATGGAATATTGATTTTTTGGATTTTTGATGAAAATAAAAATGATGAGGATCAGTTGTGTTACGTCCTTTTGATGATGAATCATTCAATTTTTGTGTTTTAAGACCCACGACCATGCCTCAAATTCGAATAACCTTTTTATTTTAATTCCTTTTATATATTTAACTTTAAAATGATGTCCACATAGCAGTAAATGTTTGCTGGTCGGAATAGCAGTCAATGATCTCAACGTATTTTTCCAACTTGTTTCCTAGAAACAGACGACGAGAAATAAATAGTTAATTAAAATCAATTAAAGTTAATTTATATGTGCTACTGCTAATGCTCGTTTTTACATTTTCTGTTTGTGCCATGACTTTCTTCTTCTTTTTCCTTACTTTATTACTCATTAAGACGAATTGGAAAGTGCATAAAGAATTAAGTGAGACTGATGAGTGAGGAAGAAAAAAATTCATTTAATAAATTAAAGGGTAGTCACTCCAATTTTGTGTTCTGTCTGCAAAAAAAAA